GGGTGCCTTGTGGAAACCTCACAGCAGGACAAGGCGAAGGCAGAGAAGGCCAGGACTGAGCCTCCTGTCTCCTGGTGCCCAGGGTTGGGGCTATTTCAATATCATCTGAAGGTCACAAGCATCAGATGCCCCCAGAGATGAGAGCAGGAAAGAACACCCTCTCCTGCCCTGAAATCTTCCACCCCTGAGTTTAAGTGCATTGAGCACGTGATGCTTTAGAAACACAAGCAAGCAAATGCTTCTAGAAGTGATTGGCAGTGGTGCTGCCAACCAACATTGAAAACCCACACCCTTGTGGTCTAGGATGTGAATGCTAGGCCCTGCCACCTCCCCCTTTTCAGAGCAGAAGATGGAGCTTATTTTCTGCCATCATTCCTGAAGCATAACCCGACCAGCACCCCAGACTCATCAACTGCTGGGAGGGCACTGGGCTGTGGGCTGTTCTCCAGGCAGGCGTGTGGGAGGATCCGAGAGGGATGTCATCAATGATACCAGGTCTCAGAAACATGGGGTTACTGGGAGAGTGGAGACACCACTTACCCCTGCTCCGTCCAGCACCACCAAAGAGGAGGAGCCAGGTGGGAATGGAGGAAGGTCCCTGAACTCCACGTAGCTTTCTGCATCCCCCACCATCCTTCCTCCATGTCAACTGGGACATGGAGCCCCCATGACAGGGCCTTTTAGCCAGTGCAGGGGACTTAGAGGTGGACTGTGAGTTCTGCAGGCGGTGCTCATTCCCACCTCTCTCCATTGCATCTTTCTAAGGGAAGCAAGTATCAGCTGGGATTTATCCCTTCCCATACAGTTCTCATTGCTTACGTTGTTATCTATCTGGCACCTGTTGGCACCTTCATTTACAACTCGAAATAAATTTCTCTTCCATTTCCCTTGCCCTAATTCAGATCCCAAATACTCTGGTTCTCTATGTTTTAAACTCATTTTTGCATTGTTCTCATTTTTCAAGGGTAGTTGGGCTTAAGGAATATTGGTCTTAAAATTCTTCTGCACACAGGGAATTCTGTGACATTGCTTTCTCATGTTTTGGGTAATTTTTGCCTCTGCACTTAATAGCCTGTCTTGTTTTCATTTCTTCTCACTCCTGGTGGGCTAGGTTTTGTGGTGCTGGTGATGGTCAGAGAGGAAGAAATTCTTTCATGTCATCACTCGGATGACCGGTGAGCTGTGACCAAAGCTGGGAGCACTGATCTGGTGGAGTGGCCTCAGTTAATAATAGGCAGCAGTCATGTGCCAGCTTCCTTCTGGCCCAGGAAGAGTCACGTCCTTTATGTTTCAGGGGCCTGGCTCCCAGTAGACCCCGTAGGCCCTGCAGGTTGTCTTTCCAACCTGCCCCTTGCTCCATACCTCCACCTCCCACCCCATAATATTAGAGAAGGTACTTAGTCAGACAAAATGATGCAACTTGGTTTTATTAGGATAGGGCTGGTGGACACTAGAGTGCCACCTATCGGGTCCAGGAGACGCACTGGGGAGGGGTCTAAGGGATGTCACCTGGCCGCAGGGAGATACAGCTGCCCTCCACAGCGCGGCACTTCACAATGCGCAGGAATTTTGTAACCGCTTTCATGTCCTCCCGGAAGCAGTAGAGCAGCTTGTAGTCCTCGAGCAGTGTGTCATCCTCCAAGTTGATGTCATAAATGCCGTGGGCCTGCCTGGAGATCTCCCCAGTCTGGGGGCTGCCATCTTGCTGCCTCTGCAAAATGAAGGACGAGAAGGAGAGGCCAAGCGCCTGGACACTGTTCCTTCCCTCTCTCTCATTCTTTCTCCTCCCTCCCCTCCAAGGCTCCAAGGTGTAGAGAAAGGGCTGTAGGATTCATGAGTGGAAATGAAGAATAAGCTGAGTTCTCCTGGGTCAGGGCCTGACTGCTAAAAAGAGAGCAGCAGTGTTTCTTTCCCCCAGATCTGGAAGCCAGTGGGGACCCAGGATTGGAGACTCCTGGTGCCACCCTCACCTCCATCAGAGTTTCGATGACTTCCTCTAGGTCCCTCAGGTAGTCATAGATGAAGCTGTTTAAAAAATTATGCAGTGGGTTGTCGCCAAAGGCACTGCTGATGAACTGCACAGGATGGAGCCACAACTGGATGAGCTGCTGGGACTTCCGGAGCAGCTCTAGGTTCTGCAGGGGAAAGACCGGCAGTGAGTGTGCTGCCCAGGGGCTCTGACCACAGGCCTCCCCCATCCCAGGCTGGTGGAGAGGCTGGCCACTCACAGATTTCTGCAGAGTTTCCTCGTTGTTAGTGGGTGTTGGGACAGGCGATGAGAAGCAAGGGGAGGTCCTGGCAGTATGCTGGAAGAGTTCATTCTTTTCATTCCCTCTATGAGCTGCTTCCTAGGAGAAGGACTGCCCATCAATATCTATGCTGGTGACCAGCTCCCATTGTTCCTTTTCTGGGACCTCACTCAGTGTATGCTCATCTGCCTGCATCTTCGATTCAGAAAACAATCCTGAGCTCCTTCGTCTCCTCCCATTACTTCCCAGCAAGTCAAAGTCACCCCTTCCTGCCCACCCTGACATGCATCCATTTGTCAAGAGCTTACAAACTTCCGGTTGATGTCAAACGACAGCAGTCTCAGGCGATAGGCGCGCATCAGAGCATAGTTATAAAGCGAGGGTAAGGGCATTGTTGGGAGGGCACCGGTCTCTCGAAGCCAGGGCAGGCAGAGCA